AAACAGATGCGGAGACATCGTGGTTGTTGTGCGTCGTTGAATGCGTGGAGGAAATCATGTGCAGTAGAGACGGTAATCTCGCATTGGTTTCTTGACTTGTGGATTTCTCGCTGATGAGTGTTAGAAGAGAGAAGGGTTTACTCGGCCACACACGAAGAACTCGAACAACGAATCAACCGAAGCCTATAATTGGAGTTTTCAACAGACATCAAATAGTCAGACTTGAGATGAGTTCACTCTAGGTGGCATTTGCGAGCTTCTATAGCAGCTTCTCATATTGTATTACTGGACTCCAAAGACGATCTCTTAAACCGATTCAGCGACTGCAACGAGTTTGCAAGATGTGAGTGCTAAATAACGTATGGCCATTCAGCATTAACACATAGCAGTTGTGGAGGAACCACTTGTATTGTACTCGAGAGCACCAAATTAAATCTCTCTGTGTCGTCAACACAGAAATAAATGAGGTAAATGTGTGGAGAAGTTATTGAAAAGTAAACAAACTTCGCACATATTTGATAGCCCCCGGTGGGCTAATTATCTGGAGTTCTCCTGCGTTTGCGAGGGATATCGGATAACGAAATTACCATATTGATAGAGTTTTCGTTAGTGAGGCAATTAGGCCGGGCTAAGACTTTCATCCTTTGGCGTAATTAGTCAGTTGATTAGAAAGAAGCCACATTCGATGATTAATTAGAGGAGCACGATGTTGCGTCGACGAAGTCATTCGACGCTGTCTCTCTCTCTCTCTCGCGCCTTTATCCTGCTTGCAGAAATCCTGCTTCATGGGGCCAAGAATATTCGTGTGTTTGAATGCGGCCACACGAAGTCTTTCACGGTCGCTAACGCTGATTGGCTGATTGGGCACACTTGAAATTGGCGCGAAAAGTCAAGTGGAGGTTATTTCTCAGATGGTATCACTAGTGGAGGGAAATCAATTAGCTTTTAAACCCAAAAAAACACACGCCTGATTTGAGTGGGTTCATAAGGCTAACGCGGTTAGGGCTAATTCATTTTACGCAACAGTCAATGTCCTAAGTGGATTTAAGCGCGTGATGACGGGAAAAAGAGGAGGGAGATCAGAGCCGTTGAGAGGGGGCAGAGAAGGTGAATGTTGGAATGTGGTGCTTCAAGTTAAGCGGGTGCTTTTCGCCTCTAAGTGGATGAGCTATTTTCGTCAGTGTTTCATTATTTACATTAGATTATCGCCTTACTCACTTAGAGTGTGGATTCGTTTAGGCAATGTGAACCACCACCACCACCACAACCTCGACCACCACCATCTCGCAAACTCTTATCAAACACCCCAAAGAAGAGATCCACACCTCGTTATAACAAATTACATTAACTCAAAAACTCAACTGTTGGCCAAGCGTTAGTGATTCGCTAGTGCTTGAATTCCGATTTGCGCGCTGCGCGTATTTGTTTATTTACACAAAAACCACAAACCGCCTTTCTTGTGCAATAAAACGCAGGTTCAAACTTCTGCGACGCTTTCTGAAACTGTGTGCGACTTTAGGGAGAGATTATCAGCTCATAGGCGGACGCACTTAACAGAAAATCATAATTCTGCAACATTCACTTTGGACAAATGTTTTTGTGGTCAGATTTTGTGTGGTTTAATATGTTGACGATAAAAGTTGACAACTTAGTCTGGTGAATAAAAACAAATCGCGCGGGTTTGTGAGTTGGCGGCGTGTGAACAGGAAAATGTAACCTTTAAACACAAACCTAAACTAAAAAAAGGTTAGCATCAAACGGGAATATAAGAGTTGTAATCGGACCAATAGGCGGCGAAGTGTAGTGTGTGGTGTCGCGAAAATAAGCGATAAGACTCGCTTATTTCATAAATAGCCCAATGTGGTAGTGACGGTGGGAAGAAACAACCAATAAGACACACACACACACAACTTCATGTGGATACAGAGGGTATCTAGCTAACCCACTCTGCCAAACCTCGCTGAAATCGGTACATTGTATGAGGTGTGTTAGTTGACCCAGTTCGCTAGAACCTAAAATATGCCACTTGGAAGTGTTCAGCGGTGGAAGTCAACGCCTTTTGAACCGGAGTGGTAGCCTATTTTGCAAAGAAGTCATGAGATTCAAGCCGCTGCATAAAGTGTCGCTTACTTAGCCATTATCAAGCTAAAATATTCGAAGCAGCGATATTGATACTTTGCTTGAACATAGCCAATAAATATCAAGGAAGTCACTCTCATTTGGCAGGCCCGAGTGATCAACGATCGAAAATCAAGGGTGTTCAATTGACACTTCCGAGGCTCTGTGGGATTAGGGCTAGTGAAGGACTCAGTCAGAGGTAGCGAATCAACTCTCAGGCTAAAAGTACAAATCATAAGACGGCCAAGATGGATTATACCTCCGATGCTCGGCTAATCCACTGCTATCTGCGTATATCTGGTCGTATCAAACACAGCCAGGGTTGCGCAGTTGTTCTTGTGCTTCCCAACCCACTTCCTCCCTCCCCCCGCTCGCATCCCCGACCAACCCCACACCCGTCCACGTTCTAACGGCACACAATGAACATATGGCTGGTCGGTGATCATTGCAGGTTGTTTGAACAATATGTCGCTTCCCAGGTCACGCCCACATGGCTGACTAAATCTGCCACTCCAGGCAAGCCTGCTTCCTAGTCTAAGTCAATCAGCAGCAAGTCATTCTCCGACGTGAGAATGCAATCAACTGCAGCTCTGGTGCTTTCACTGGCGTCTCTGGCACTGGTTGTGGTATTGCCCTAATCCATGGTGCCACGCTGCGGTTGAAAGCAGCAGCATTCAACTCTTTGCTTTCCACACTGCACACCATCAACCGAATCATTCGCTCTCAACAGAAACCCCAGTTTGCCGTGATTCAATTAGCAATCTAGTGCTACTCCAAAAAGGTCACAAGTTATTTGGCCACAAGCCCACTTCACGACTCATTAAAACAACAATTGCACTCTTCCTAACACGTTATCACTTCGCAAAACATCGCCTTATTTATGAAAAGTTTAGGAGATGTTTTGCATTCGTGTGAAACACTGAAATGATTCGGGAACACACAAAGAGCAAGCTCCCGATTGGCTAGAACCAGGATGCATTTTTGTGCGGTGAATGTGATTGGACAAAGGCATTTTTCAATGTAATTTGACAATAATTTCGCAGCTTCATAGTCATTCTTGAAGTTAGTTTCTCCTACTCTACAACCGAACTGCGTGAGTGTGTGCTTTGCTTCCTGCAAATAAATATGTGTCCAGTTTCCGTGGTTCCCAGGGGTTGGAATTTTCACAAAAAACTAATTTCCTCAGTAAATCGATCACCAAAATGAGTGTTGCAACGATAATACACTCACTCCTAACCTGCTGCACGCTGCTTCAGGGAGTTTGCAAACTGTTTTGTTTAAATGGAATTAAGCATACTGGCCCTCCACGATTAGGAAAACTACTGCTGCCACCAACCAAGATTAGTGACTTTGAACGAACTGTTTGGGGGCAGTGATAAGTATCAAGGTTTTGCGAACGAGAGAGACTGGAAGTGCTTGTGCGTGTGAGAGGCAGGAAAAAAGGCGATTAGTGACGGTATTTTTTTACACAACTTCTTACGGTTACATTAGACAACCGATAGGGGTGGGGACTGAAGCCATTACTGCCTGCGCTGTGGGCTTTCTACGCCTATCCAAACGCATCTTCACAGTCTTCAGCCCTAATGCACATCCAGATGCCTCTACATGTCGGTATATGCAATGCATTAGGAGGCGAATTCACGTTCTAATGGATTTTCGTGTTAAGCTAAAGATGCCAGATTTTAGAAGGTGTGTTTGTGCGCTTGTGTGGGTGTGTCTTCCGACAACTTACTAATGTCCACTTAGAAGACTGATTCGTACGATGGGTGCTTTCTCATTGGTCGAGGACTGAAATGGGCTAAAATACCACAAAAGTTGGCATTTTATCGATTCCTATTGGCTGACGCATAACGTAACCGTGATTCGTGACGCAGCGATTCCTGAAGATGTCTATACACAACGCTACTGAATTGTAGATACCAGTAGCAGTGAAAACGTCGCACCTAAAATAAAAAAACATTTGTAATTGAACATTCCCGTGTGTTAGAATTTCCGCATTGGTAAATATGTATACTAGACTTTCATAAATTCGAATCATTTTACTAGGGAGTATTTATGAAATGGTCCATTTAATTCAATACCACATCTGATCCTATCAATGTTGGAATTCACACACAAACACACACGCAAACACGCACGCAGTCTCGCGCAAGAACTAGGCCCACTGGACTTCGAAATCTCCCATGACATCTAAATCGGCGTTCCCACAATCTCTTGGTGGGAGACAAGTGCTTTAATCAAATAATTTAAAACGAGTTAATGTTAGATTGTAATATTGCGTGGGGCGTATTTGGACTCTACTGCGCATCTACAAGGCGCGATAATTTAACCATCCGGAACCTGGATTTTAGCGTCAAACTTCCGATTACAGACAAATGTCAGGGAGGAATTTGAACGTGATCAATTAACTTATTTTTGTCGTAAAATGAATTGGCTGTATTCTCGGTAAAACTGACCACCTGTATTTACCATCTACAGTTTGAATTTCAGAAAGTAGAACGACTTCAATTTTTAAAAAAGTGGTTACCGTCACTATCACACGATAAGTCCAGAAATATCCGTGTACAACTTACGACATACCTTAAATGAACTGTTTGGTAAATCTGAACAAACCACATTTGTAGCCATTTGTACTTTGATAGGAAATACATCGAAAAACAAACACGTTATAACGGCTTCTCAATTAGCCAATAACGTTGAACTTGTAAGCTCCAGCCAATCAGAAGTTTACCTTTAAGCACGTGGTGGACACCCAATCAGCGCACGCCTTATTCTTGAAGCCACACGCGTGTCGTGACCAGCCGGCAATTAACCACGGTTCAAAGTCGCAAACGCACACACACACATACCCACGTCTAAACCGTCAAGCATTTCCGTCTGTAATGATGCCTCGGGATCAAGCGGCTTCGCAAAGTCCTCCAACTGCCTCGAATCAAACAACCAATCCCGATGTCGCGTCTCCGCAATCTAACAACGCAATCTCGCCGTACTCCCTACCAGAGGTCAGCAGACCTTCTCCGCTGACGGAGTCGGGACATCCTGTAAGAAGAACATCCACACCGAAGGTTGCCAACGTCGCTGAAATTCAGCCGTTCTTCAGCGTCAGTGCAGTTCACCTGCAAGACCGCCAACCAAACGGAAATGTGTGCGCAGGTTGTGGCCTGGTGATCTGGGATCGAACACTGTTGAGTGCTTTGGATAGGAACTGGCATAACCACTGCCTCAAGTGTCACTTGTGTGGCGGTCGGCTTGCAGACATGGGAGCTAGCTTTTTTCTGCGTTCCAACATGTTCTTCTGTAGACAGGATTATCTGAAGTGAGTGTATGGCATTCCATTCCATTTAGTTAATCCAGCCTAAACTCAGCTGTGACTGATTTCACCGGTTTTCTAATTAGAATCACCTCTTAATTTAAAGTGCACCTTCTAATTGTCATCAAAAGTACAGCTAAAAATCGATATGTGATTGAAGCCGAGACAGACAATGGCTATTTTGATGTGGAATGCGGAATGGACTCTCCAGATACAATCAAAATTGCTCTACAAATGCGACTGCGTGTGTAATTTGGCTTCTTGTCATTCGTTCGTTGACCAGTCTCTCACAATATAGAGCCAAAGCATAGGGACTCCCTCAGTGACACCACACCTTATTTCACACCTTCTCTACGTCCACGCCGACAGCTAAAATTAGCGCTAATTCATCCATGACAGCGTCAAATTGTGGTGAGGTTTGACAATGAGCTTCCAACCTCAACGCTCACAGCTAATCCAATCCATCAATTCTGGCTAGAAATTAGTCTTGTGCCATTTTCTCATCCACGGTGTCACTTCCACCGAGTGATGAATGCCCACAACCCCACGCCCGTCTCGGAATGCATTTAATCAAGTCAACCTAGTCAATTGGTCAAAAACACTGCACCGGACGCTACAGAAATGCTCCCTTTTTTTCTACCGGTGACACTGAACCAATCAAAACCAGTGCAAGTGTTGTTCTCATGGTTGATTTCTTGCTATCGAACAGTGTTCACGAGGATAGTTCCAGTGAGTAGTGCTCATTTCACGGCGCTCACTGAACCTCAAGGTCACCTGGGGGCAGAGGGGACCTGATGACTTGAGAGAAGTGCTTCGCGTCTACGGCCTGATCGCTCCTACCGACGAGCATTAGCTCCGTGGCGCGAGCGTTTATCCCTTATCCACCTCGCAATCTTAAAAGGTTTTCTTGTGGCATCTGCGCTGTGCCGTCCAAGGCTGCATGTGCATTAAGCCACGCAGCTATGCGTGTAACCTGCGAAATCGGTTTACGGGTTTAGGCTTTTTTTTTGAAAAAAAAAGACAACCAGATCAGACCTGAAGCTATCACGGATTTAAATACTCATTAGCTCCGCTAAAAAGACACATTGCCCCACTGACCAGCCAGCGAGATGATTTCTGGTGCATGATTTGTTCCCGTTCTTATTCACCTTAATTTCTGTGTTCTGTTGAGCAATCACAACTCGTTTCTATGTGAAAAAATGCCAGGATAGTTAGTTCTCCTTTCACTCCACGCCCAAGTATGAACTACGCAGGCAGACAAGCGTATGAAGCTGTGTAATTCTGTAAAGCCATCTGCGATCACATTCACTACGAAGGACATTTGTGCTTGACGGTTTGACTCCATACTCGTGCGCGTAGTATAAAGTCGAGCATCTAATCTTGTTTTATTCATATTTTCTCGTGTGTGTGTGGTTCGTTTCCCGTAGCATTCACCTCAGAGTTAATTAGCTTTCTTCATCAGCTAATTGAACTCGTACTCTCTAGCCCTGCCTCACTCACTCTCTCTCGCCTACTCTCAGTCGGTGTGGTGGCGAGTAATTATTTTCGACAAAATTAACACGCATCCAGGTGCGCAACTGTTGTTCTGGTGATGGTTAAGCTCCTGAACCCCTTCTCCCCCCACCCCCCAAACCTACCTGTTTTGCAGTGAGGTTTCGGCACTGTGTTTGAGACAGTCATCTCACGGAGTGCCACATCGGGGTAGATACTAAGCTGTCACTTCGCCACGATCATGTGAGCCGCACTTCTCTGCACTCAAACGCGGATGCACGTGGGGACGCCATCATCACAACTCAGCCAGCATCCTCGCTGTTGTTTTCGCGAGACTGCGCAAGTCAGCTCGTGTAGCCTCATGTAGAGACATGTCTGTCGTTGACACGCTGCACTTTTAGCGGCACAGCTACGCCGAGGGCGCAATCTGATTGGTGGGGCTTGTGGATATGTCGCCCTCAACTCCATTGTTGCTCCCTAATTATGCTCATCGCGCGTTCTCATTATTGTGATTAATGTCGTGCCTGTGGCGCAAGCCCTTCCTTCTCTGACAGGCTTCCCTGCAACTCCCTACTCCCCTGCATTCCTCAGGACATATCCACTTGGTCTAATTACCTTGTCGTCAGCTAATTAGATGATATGGTTGTTCATGATTAGAGGGGATTGTTCGCCGATACTTCGCTCTCAATCCACGGCGTCTTTTGCTAATCCTGGCAAATAAATCAACTGGGACAGCAAGGCTTTAAACAGCGGGTTTCAGCCAATAAAATGAGGCGTGTGGTGCATTGTGCTTGGCGGATGAACTAGTTGGCCTTTTCTTCATCCAAAACCAGGCTATTCGGCGTCGCGGGAGTCTGCACTGCCTGTCAGACCACAATTCCACCGGACGAAATGGTCATGCGATGCCACAAGACGGTCTACCATCTGCGATGCTTCAACTGCTCGCTTTGTCACTCGCCGCTGCTGCCGGGGGAGCGGTACCTTCAGGTGAACGGTAGCCTCTTCTGCGAACACGAATTCGCCCGCCTCTTGCCAACCTCTCAGGCCTCGAGCACACCCCCCGCTTCTCCAGCCGTGCCCGCTCCACCACCCACAACTTCCGCGTCCCCGAGCACCCTACGCCCCATCCTGTCCCCCCAAGTGCTCAATGCGGGCGGCGGTGTGTTTGGCGGAAGCGCAGTAGCCAATCAGAGCTGCTGTGCGGCTCCGGAGTCCTCTTCCGGCTCGACCAATGACATTGTCACTCAAAGACAAAAGGTTAGGCTCTTCAACAATGACTCCTTTTTCCTGATAGTAGTAGTAGTAGTAGTGGCAGTATCGGTGCCAGGAGTTCAAAAATCCCGACTTCTTTGAAGGCAGTTATTTCCTCCGGGTTCAAATAATCACTTGAAGCGGTGCTTTTTCATTGGGCGAGAAATACCTAGGTCTTAATCGCAGTAATGATAGGCACGAACACGAGATAATTAGAGGTTTGCATTAACGCTTGAAGTATTGTAACAAAGCACACCACGCTCACTTATAACTAAACCCTATCCATGTCTGTTTTGTCAGATTCAGCCCTCTTTTATGCTGCTTGTATGTGTGTGTGTGTGTGTGTGTGTGGATGTGCACTCGTCTGATACGTTACTTATCCACAATGTGCTATTTTTGCGGCAACAGCGGTTGCCATGACGCCGTCGAAAAAAACGAAGAAATGCAAAAAAATTGCCAAACATTTCTTTGAAGTGTCTTGTGCTGTTGTTTTTGTGAAACTTGAGGCGTCACTTTCCACCTTTCTCATTGCTTTTTGTCCGGTTTTACAGATATTTATGCAATGAAGTGCAGTAAGGCCTGCCAATCATCATTAGTATTGCAGCTGTCCAATAGGAATCTTTTATTTCAGCCGTCCAATAGGGTCATCAAGTGGGGTCACTTCAAGGTCGAATCTAAAAGCGCCTAAAGATTGACGAAGCAAACGCAAACATCGCAAAAGTTGGGAATTTAGCCCAATCTTGAGCCGACCATTCTTCTGCGTCTTAATTTTTAGGCTCAGTAAACAATCATTGCAGTGCACAATTAACTTGTTTTAATGGATTTTGGATGATGCGACCTCGAGAACTTGTTGGCAATCTAGATAATAGGTAAAAGCGAGTTGTCTTCTACGGAAAAGGACTTAATTTCGTATAGCGTACATCACGAGTTCTAAGTCTAAGGCAACGCACAATCACTCTGTTTATCAAAAGAGTATTCCGTCCAATTAAATTAACAGTTGCTCTGTTTTCCTACTTTTACTCATCTTCGGATACTCATGAGGTTATCAATTGAGCTTTTCCTTGTGTAAATGCGCTATAATGTTGAGCGTTGTCGTCGCCCAGATCGTAAATAAACCCCGATGGGAATCGACTTTTTTCTTGTAGTTTTGCTTATTGTCCGTTCATTTACCATTGCAAACGTAATTCACCTCAGGGTAGGGGGTTCGTGAATCGGCGCCCGTAATGGAATTAGGCGAATGCTCCCCCCACCCCCGATTCCGGGGTCTTTTCAAACGTCGAGTGGCGCCACTTGAAGTTTGTTTAAATTTAATTAACTGTCTTGGATTTCGCTGTGGACGACACACTCGTCATTTCGTGTGCTGTTTCGAGGCTAATTACAATCTATTCTCACAATCGCCACTGAGTTAGGCGCCGCGTGTCAATTAGCCGTTTGCACCTCAAACGGGGGTCGCAGGGGTTAGCCAATAGAAACTGCGCATTCCTTCTGCAGCACATTAAAACAAAAGTTAAAATTAGAAATTCCAATTCAGGTATTATCGTCCGCCAAATGACTTTAATGCTATGATTAAACGCAAATCATCCCAATTTCGTTCTGATGTCTATGTGCAGTTGTGAATGGGATTAGTAAGAGATTAGTCTCCCAGGGCGGACAAAGTGCGGAGTTTTACGACACTCGTGGGAACAAACAGACTTCGTTTTGCTTGTTTCAGAGCTCGGATTTGTCGGAACCAGAGGGCATTTCGTCCGAAAGCGATAATTAGACATGAGCGAGCAAAAGTACCAATTAGCGCTCTGTCAGAGTGGAGGCTAGGCTTATAACCAGGTGTAATTTATGGGTTTTCGCTATGTCGTTGAGGTAACTCAGCTCGCTACTCTTTTCCATTCATTTCAGAAAGTTGATTCACGGCGTTGTCCATTGCAGGTTTGCTGACCACGTGGTATTCCACTCCACCAACACCCAGCAACAACAACTCACCGGCGTCGTCTGTGATACCTCCTGGCAGCATCCGGGCCTGATTACTCCGTCCTGCCCCCGGCACTGCAAGCGATACTGCTGTCCCAACCGCCTCCCTTATGTAGAACCAGTGTAAATAACCATCTCACTCATCCACCCTCTTCAATCACTTTTCTGATTGCATTGGGTATCGATTTCGGTAAAACAAGCCACTTTGTCGGCAGTGACGACAGTGGATCAAGGCTTGGGCGGATTGACATTGGCGGTTTTGTTTAGCGGAACTGGTTGGCCTTGAAAGCGCGCGGTGCCCAAACTGAGTGTCTAATTCAAAAAGGAGTTGTTTTTTGGAGGATGTAAAAAAGTTTGCCAGACTGCGGAAGCTGGGTGGATGTGAGCTAGGTGTTTCCGTGCAATAGAGTCAGCCTAGTTTGATTTAAAAAAATAGACGCCACATCCCTTACCCAGTTAGAGAACCGATGAAACCGGGACAGCGTCACAATTCCGATAGATTCACCTCGAATAACCAAAAAAGTGTGAATTGAGGCCTCACGACAGACGAAGTGCCGGACGTGTCGTGGAAAAGGAGGCGGCCACTTCAATAAAGATAATTGGATGGTTGAAACGACGCCGGTTAATCTCGTTGATTGCACAAATGCAGGCACCTAGGGGGGGGGAGTAGGGACGCGATCTGCTAATTGGCCTTTCGGCAACTGCTCCGGGCACAGCGGCAAGCACAAGTCCTTGCGGTTTCGGCACGCACACACAAGAGGCGAGGCGATCTACGCGACGGTGCAAGTGCTCACGTGTCCTGATTGGCTGATCGCATCCAATTAAATTACCCCCCGCGGGCGTGCAGATTTAATTCGCAATGCCTGACAAAAGATGCGTCAGAGCTGGGGTGAGGGGGGGTAGGGGTGGGTGGGAGACCTTAATTAGAAAAAGCGGAAACTAATTTGCTGAGGGCTTTTGAGATCTTCGTGTTACGAAAACCGCGTTCAGCACTAACAAACTTGCTTATTCAGCCAGACAGTTTTAATTATGCAAAACCACACTAGCCGCTTCATTTGAGATCGATAGGAAGGATAAGAAATGGGTGTAGAACTATCAGATCGACTTTGAAGTCCAGTAATACTATGTGAGAAGTTGCTATGGAAGCTTGCAAATGCCACCTAGAGTGAACTCATCTCAAGTCTGACTGTTTGATATCTGTTGAAAACTCCAATTATAGGCTTCGGTTGATCCGTTGTTCGAGCTCTTCGTGTACCGCCAAGTAAACTCTTCTCTATTCTAACACTCATCAGCGAGAAATCCACAAGTCAAGAAACCATTGCGAGATTACCGTTTCTACCGCACATGATTTCCTCCACGCATTCAACGACACACTCACAACAACCACGATGTCACCGCATCTGTTTTCAAAAGCTGGAACATTCAGATATATTAGTAATCAGACGGTATTTCACACAGTCAACACACTTGTGCATTGCTAAAATGCTATTCGACGCATAGCACTTCAATGCCGATCTAGTTTGTCTCAGTTAGTGTTCAGGAAATCGGAACTATCTTGGACCATTAGTCGAGGCTGCTAAAACATGCAGGTATATCTAAGAAATTAATAGAAACCGTGTGTGCACGTTCCAATTAACGCGGTCCCTTGTTGGCTATACACGCCATGTTGGTTTCAAACATTTATGTTGTGGTGAAAGTAGTGTGTGCGACGGTTGTCCAAGGAATACGAAAGAGCCGACAGTAGCACAACGGCCTTCGAGAGTGTGGAACTGCCATTGCAGGAGGTGATAGACCAACTGGTATCCCGGCAGAGCCTTGTTGAAATGGACTGCTGAAGAGAACACAGGGTTTGAGGCACAGAGACGAGTCGCCTTGTGGACGAAGTGGTACCAATCGCAAGCTCTCACAATACACCCATTGTGCGAGCATGCCAACTTGTGCACCATGAAGCTGTTGTAGCTTCTTCATCATCATCAGCAGCAGCAGCAGTAGCATCGGAGGCAGCGGAAGCCTTGTCTCGAGAACGCAGGCATGATGAATGCGCCGTGTGTTTGATGTGACCGACTTGAAAAAGCGCCACATGGACTTGGTACAGCCGACTTGGCAGCTCACGCGAGGTACCGAATTGTCGTGTACGAATGTGTGGTGTGTCCATGTCGGAGAGAGGTTTCGTGTTGTAGTTTTTAAACACGGAGACGCATTGCCTCACCAAAATGGCTTGCGCTAGGATACCGCACAACACTGAGCAGGTTACACCAATCAGGTTCTCGTATCGCTACAAAAAAGTTGGTTCGTGTTGGTGGGCTTGATTTCTATTCAGTGGCGACGTTGGGCTCCTCAAGTCGGCGAGAAGCTGTCAGCTGAGCAAGTGCCTGAAGATCTGTCCTACATGTGTCAAAGTGAAATTACTGGCAGTGGGAATTTATGCCCATTAATGGTGAGGTGAGTACAAAACGGCTAGTCAGGCTAACGTTTGTTTTCTTTTCCAAACATTTAGCATGTCATTGGTCCACGCAGCATTGAGAGAATTGGCATGTAATGTCGAAACGAAACGTTGGTTGGGCTGGATTTATAGTGGACAACGGAAGTGCGATTTAATGAGCCGGAAGGTTGAAGTTGAGTTAGTTAGGAGTCGCAAACTGGCATCAGAAATACTGTTG